CTCTGGGAAGTCATAAAAAGCAGAGAAAGCCTAGGCCTCTGGACTGGTGTTTCTCAGTTGACCTTTCTATTGTGGTTATAAAAATCATGCATATTGAAAAGAGTGTAAATATCTGTTTAATTGGCTAGTTGTTGTGTGACTCCATTGTCTTGCTACCTAGTGGAGAAGAAAAGTTCTAACTAGGTGACACTCCTTTATGGCAGAGCAGGATGGCTCTGGAGTTTTGTTATTTGGATGACTTTTCCTGTGCTTTTGTTATCTTATATTTTGTTTTTCTTATAAAGTCTCATACATTTGTCTTTGCTATGAACTGGCCTGATGCTTTCATCACAGAGTAGTCACTGATGACAGTGGATCATGAGGTCACCAAGAACTACATCTTGTCAATGTCCCCTGAGCCTTTCTCTATTCTCTTAGACATGCGTATGCCAGAGGTGAAGAGATCCTGGCAGTTTGTCATCATAGCTTCCACCTTCATGGAGAGTCAATGAGCCAGCAAGTATTTATTAAGCATTTACTATGTGCCAAGTACTGAGGATGAAAAGAAATTGTAAAGGAGTCTAGGAGCTCAAATTCTAATGGGAAGAATGAAGTATCACAAAGCATAGGCAAATCCATCTTAAGTGTAATTGTGAACTCAGTATTTTTTGCCTTTGTTGCTCATATTTTCATATAAGAAACCAAGAATGTGGCTGGGCAGGTAGAGGAGGTGGTTACTTTACCCCTCTTGGACTTTTGTCTCTGTCTTCATTTCCTCACCCACTCATCTACCTAGGAGAATGGAAGAGATTTGGAAGTAGAAAATAGGGGAACCCTGAATCTCAGAACTGTTTGGACAAATAGCTTTTACAAGGATAATGACCCCAGAGACAGTTCGGTCTTCAGAGGTTAAAATCAGAAGGCACAAATAATGCTCATTATAAACTAGAATAGTATTTCTAATCAAGAGACCCTAAGCCCCTAGACCAGGAAGTCCAAAGAAAAAAATTAAGCTGTGGACATTAGCTAGCTTGGAGGAGTCTGATCTGGAACTCCTCCTGAAGATAAATTGCCTTACATCTAAGATTGGGAAAGGGGAGGAGTAACTACTAAGTACCTTGAGCCTTGAATGAGGTAGTTAATTCTGGACCCTCTCTGTGAGTATGTGTGGATGCCTCCAGCCATTACATAAGCAATTTAAATAGGTCCAAGAAGAAAGGAGTAAGGGTGCATTAGGACTTCCAGAGCCTGGGGTCTAGAGAATGGTGAAAGAGGATCCTTCCAAAGCAGTCCAGAAAGATTCAAAGACTCCCAAAAGAATCGGGGACTTAACCTGGAAGCATCGTTTTGGGAAATGTGGTTTTTAAACCTTAAAGCTCAACATAAATATGAATTCACATTTAGATTCAGAATGAAGACAAAGAACCAGTGTAACTGTCCTAAAGAGGAAGTCATCAAGAGAGCTGAACACTTTCCCTGTGTACCTGCAGCTGCTGTCTTCACAATCTATGCACAATCTTATTATTTTTGTGTGCTTTGATCTAGAACTGTGGAAAACTTTTCATTTCTCCTCTTGTATTCTGCCTCACTGCTCAATATTATGTCACATAGACCTGGCTAAGATGACAATTTCTTTGTCATTTTTGGGAGGGTTGGGATGACAATGCATTTTCATAATATATTTTTTTAAACAAAGGGACAATTTCACCATTAAATTGTGTACACTTTGTTTTTATTTCAAGATGGCTTTCCTATAGCACCAAAAGAAAGTCTTCAGAATTCTTTGACAATAATATCCCTGCCACCTTGTTGTTTGTAGACTTCATTGTAGGAATTTCGGGGAGGGTGGATGGTGAAGGTGACAGGTACTAGAGACAGGAGATAATTGCTTTCTGCAGAGAATCAGTATCTTTGGGGGCTGTCAGTGTCCCTAGAATCAATGTTTGAGATGCATACCCTCTAGCACTAGAAGCCTCAGCTTACTATGTAAAACCTTACCATTAAATACAATTGCCCTTCTGGCCTTTTTCAGGCTTCCCATTCTGGTATTATTTAGACAATAATTCATACATCTGTTGAGATTCTAAGATGACTTTCCTTGTTTCCCATTCAGAATCTAGCCAGAACTAATCACATTTGAGCATGACTTTGAATATCAGGATAGATTTATGTTTCTTTCAAGGATACTGAAGTGAAAGATGGTGACGAGTACACATTTGTTTAAGATGTAGGATGAATCAGCTTATTTTATAAGTATAAATTGGGGTGTAATGGGGGACTGGCCAATAAGCATAGCACTTATGAGGCTGTGCTCAGTGCAATCTCCTCACTAACTTGGGAACATTATGTAAGTGGTTTTAGTCTGCTAACCAATTGAGAAAGAGAAGTCTTATTGTTTGGCTATGTAGCTGGAATTGGGCCAACTGGCACTAGCCAATGGGTATCACTACCTTTTTTTTTTTGGCATATCTGCTTTCTTTCTGATGGTGTTCTAGTGAAAGAAGAAAGACCATGGTATAAGGGGAAAGGCTTTGGGTCCTTCTACCTGAGGCTGACATAACCTCTCTCAGTTCTTTGCCTTAGCATTTGTTCTTTCAATTTAAGTTGTTAACAAATGACCCCAAGGCCCATAAAGGGACCTGAAATGAAACAGAGTCCAATCACCAAATGAGACTATTTATTGTCTAAGAAAAAACACTTGTAGGGGAGAGAAGATCCCACAAGGGAGCAGGTAGGGAGAGTTCTTCAGCTGCTCCAAGGGGAGAGAAAAAAGGATGAGATATTCTAGTTTCTAGAGGCTTTCAGGCAGGTTGAGGGAGAGGACATCTGTAGACAAATAAACCAGGCAGTAGGATGTTTGGAAACTCCCATGCAAGGTCTTAATTCTATAGCTTCTGCTCAAGGTTGCCCTTGAGCTAATCAAGGCTGGTTCTGTGGTTTTTGGAAGCTGCAGACATGTCCAAATTCAGCCAGAGTTCATTCACAAAGGATTACTGATGAGTCAAGTAGCTCTGAGCCTCAGAAATCTTTTTGATTGGCTGGTTGTTGTGTCACTCCATTGTCCTGCTACCTAGTGGAGTAGGAAAGTTCTAACATGAAGTATAGTCATTATAGAACCCATGTTAACAAAGTGAAGAAAGTTGTAGTCTATAAACTTGCTAATTTTAAAAAGTCCAGAGAGTGAGCCACAAGAAGGTTTGAGAATATAATTCACGCCAGGCAGGCAATCTACCTTTGAGGTCCTGAGGAACAAAAAGCAAACTTCAGCTTCTAGCTCAGAGAGCTAAGATGTGGGCTCATTGAGCTGTGATGCTGCATTTGGGTGTTCTGTTAGTGGGACCAATGCTATGTAGCAACTATGCACAGTCTGAGCCCATTCTCCCCAGAGAATGATGTAGTATGTCACCAAAGTATTTTTTGGGTTTTTTTTGGGTGAAATATTTGTACTTGGTTAAATGGAACTGGTGTACTAGTTACTGACAACTGAAAGTTGGGAACCATACTGGAAATGGAGATAGTGTTAGAAAAGATATACCAACGCATTAGAGGTACCTCTAAAATCCTGAAGGGATAATGTAGCTGGTCTTACTCTGGGAAAGGGAAGATAGCATGATCATTACAAGGAGAAAATAAATAACTTTGGTGCAATAGAGGGTTGGATTTAGAGTCAAAGGACTTGGGTTAAGTCCTGACCTTGCCACTTTTAATCCACGTGTGACCTGAGTTTAGTAGCTTAATCTCTCTGGGCTTCATTTATAAACCTCTTCTATAAAATAAGATTGTTAGACTATATGACCTCTAATTAGCTATAAAGTCCTTTGATTCTATGAAATAGGTCCACAGGAGAAGCATAGAATGATGTAGATAACATTGGATTAGGATGCCCATAAACTTAGGAATGACTGAACAAATTATAGCATATCAATAAAATCAATTTAATACTCTTGTGGCATTAAAAGTGATGAAAGATTTTAGAAAAATCTAAGAAAGCTCGCATGAATTGATATAGAGTGATATATATATATATATATAATATATGTATATGCATATATTATATATATATATACACATATATACATATATATATATATACACATATATATGCTTGGAAATGGGTAATGCTGTAATTTGCTTTACATGATGATGAAAATTTGTTACAAGGATTTTGTTTTTTCTTTTTCTTTTTTTTCAATAAATTAGAAAAATTGTTTGGGGGGCAGAAGGAGGGGCAAATGGATATGTAATTAATTGAAAAATAAAATGAAATTGAAAAAATAGTATTTTACTAGTTGTCAAAAGAACTAGGTCTAATTCTAACTTAGCCACCAATTGGCTATATGGTTTTGGGCAAGTCACTTTGCCTCTGAGGGCCTCAGTTTCCTCACCTGCAAAATGAGGGAGTTAATCTAGGTGATTTCTAGAATCATAGATTTGTAGTCTGAAGGGAACTTCAGATTCCTCTAGTCCAAACTTCTTATTTTGTAGATAAAGAATTATCTTTAAAACCTCTTGGAATTATATAGGATTAGAGGAGGAAAGTGACTTTCCAAATTCACATAGGCGGTAAATGGCTGATCTAGGATTTGTATTTAGAACCTCTAACTCCAAACCCAATGCTCTTTCTCTTGTGCCATATAATCCTTAATACTCTTCCAGTTTGAAGACTCTCTTATGTTGGAAGGGGTAATTTTTATTTAATTTAATTGTTTTTCATTTATTTATTTTTTCAAAATATACACTTAGTGTCTGTGACAACTTATCTTCTTATCAAAGATTTAAGCTAATGCCTGTGAGCTACTGTTCCTTTTAATGGTGGAAATTCACTTTTTTGACATCTCTGAAGATTATTAACTGGCATATTTATAATTAGGCTTAATGTAATAGGCCAATCCATTCATAGGTTTTTCTCTTAAAGTTATTCTTTTTCCCTTTATCTGATTGTAGGGGGAAAAGAATTTGGGAAGAGGGTAGGGTGCACAGCAGTAGCTGCCTGTTATCTGACTCACAATAATCTTTTACAGAAGCTAGGAGATGACCGCACCACCAACTTGCAGGCAGTTGCATAGAAGAGGGATAACAGGACTCATTGAAGCATTCATCTTCTGGACCGTTGTGATCTTTTGGACAAGTCTCCAATATATGAATGGCAGTTTGCCTTCTGAATCTTTTCTCCCTGCCCATCTCTGTAGTCATGGTGAGAAATAATACCGCTATGTTTTTAATAGTTTTGGAATCTGATTTGATCAAAGAAAAAAGTACCAGGCATCTCCCAGCTTGCCTGTCTGCTTTATCTCTTGGCATACTCCAGTTATGTGTACTCTATTAATTGAGGAAGAAAAAAAAGAAAAAGAAAGAAATATTGGAAGGAAGAGAAGGATGTAGGATGAACCACAGGGGCCTTTCAATAAAATCATTGTGACTCAGTCTGGGACTTTGCTGCTTCATGGAGTTATTTAATGTTCAGCCTGAGGAGTTTCAACATCTCTAATTTCAGTATTAGAATATTATATTATATCATGCTTTATAGTAGTCATTTGATAGCATTGTGGAGTAGAAAGATGAAGGGTTGCAGGTAGAGTGATGCTTTGACCCAAGGCACTGACATTGGGGTAGGGGAGATAGCCTTCCTTCCCTCTGACATAGGGTGCAGCCCATTTCATTCCCATAGTCCTGTTGCAGTGGCATCCTTAGCCTAGGCCCACCTTCTCTCCTGCCTACTGGAAAAATGAGGGGGAGTGAGTTGTACTGAGGGCTAGACCACAACTCTCCCCATGTTCAGTTGTGGTCAAACTGTCCTCTGAGCACCGTCCATCCTGACCCCCCATCCCCAACTGTTTATTGCTTGAATGAAATTGTTTTTAGTTATAGCTTTAGGAAAGAAGTCAGAGGGTCATTAAGCATTTAATAAGTGCATTCTATGTGCCAGGCACTGTGCCAAGTGTTGAGGATACAAAAAGAGACAAAAGACAGTCCCTTCTCTCACTTCTGTGTGAAACAATAAGCAAACCATTATGTACAAACAAGTTATATACAGGAAAGATAGAAAATAATTTTAAAAGCCAAGGCACTAGAAATAAAAGGGGTTGGAAAAGGTTTCTTGTAAAAAGGGGATTTTATTTAGGAATTGAAGGAAGCCAAAGATGAGAAGGGAGAGTATTACAGGCCTGGTGGACAGCCAGAAAAAATGCTCTGAGCTGAGATATGGAATGCAGAGTCTGTGGAATAGCAAAGAGAAAAAGCCCAGGCCTTAGTCTAGGCTTGGATGCTACTCCTACTTACTAGCTGGGTGAATTCAAAATTTTCAATTTGATTCATATTTATTAAAAATCTACTATGATTTAGAGACTTCTGTACTCTGAAAGAGAAAAGGCAAAAAATAATAAAACCCTATGCTAAAGGAGTTCATCAGAATACAAAAGAGAACATATGAATTGCATTACAGTTATAAATTAAATATTTGGGGCGTGGGAAGAGCCAAAATGATTTCCACTTGGAAGCTCAGCAAAGGGTACTACATTTAGATTAGGTCATAGACTCATGGATTTAGATGTAGAAGGGACCCTGGAGGCCATCAAATCCAACTCTGTCACTTTACAAATGAGGAACTGAGGCCTCAAGAGGTTGTTAAGTGACTTGACCAAGATTATTCAGAAAGGATCTGAGATACGATTTGAATCTACCTTTTCTTGACTATAAGTCTACTGCTCTATCCACCTCTTTAGGAGCAAGGTCTTTAGCTGGCAGAATGATAAAGTAGACAGGGCAGTGAATTTGAAGACAGAGGACCTGGGTTTGAATCCATCCTTAGATTTTGGTTTCTTCACTAGTAAAATGGGGATAATATTCTATAGCGTCTACATTAAATCCCAGGCTTTTAGGTCCAGTAGAACTTCCCCTCCAACAGAGCCTATTTTCCAAGTTATTTTCTAGCACTGAGATATGTGGGATGAAGAAATTTTCCCCAAGGGCTAAGAATTAGTGAAGAGGATAGAAGAGAAAGAAAAAAAAAATTCCAGATATGCCAAGGCAGTAAAATTAAGCAGAACTCAATTATCTTAACTTTAAGCCTGGGGTTAGAGCTTTTCATTTCAAAATGCTTGGATCTCATCTTTTTTTTAAACAACAAGCATAACCTAAAGGTGAAATACTGCTCTTTCTGATAAACTCAATTGGAGAGACCAAAAAGGTTGAAGATAGCTAAGACTAATTAAGTGACCTGAGAGAACCCCAGGTACATAATAACAACCCTTAGCTTATGTTTATGCAATGAAGATTTGAGAACTGTCTGGCAGTCTGGGATTTGTACTTTAGATGAACACATATTCCCAATACTCCTATTAACATTTATAAAGTTCTTTCACATACAACATCCTTTATATCAACTGACCTCCATGACAACTCTGTAAGGTAGCAGGGATTATTATACCCTTTTGACAGATGATGAAACTGAGGCTCAGAGAGATGAATTGACTTATGGGAAGTCACATAGTGAACCCAGGTTTTTTGACTCCAAATCTAAGATGTTTTGCATTAGATCACCTTCCCTCACTCAGCAAAGGCCACACTCTGTGGTAGCCTTCCAAACTTATCCACACAGGATCCAACTATTTAGAATCAGAGCTAAAAGGAGCCTTACAGATCACTCAATCAAACACCTTTCTTTTTTAGATGAGGAAATTAACTTTGAGTGGTGACAAGACTTGTCCAATATCTCAGTGGAACCTATATTCTATCCTGTCTATACACTCAATACACTATACCATAATGTCTTTCTTTAACCATCCTGGAATTTGTGATAACATTGGGGAACAGGAAAATTAGGGAGAAATAGGGAGCAGGAAGACATAGGTTGTTAGAAATATAGTAGTAAAATTTGGATTGGGTTGTTATTATAGCAGGTTTATTGGGAGGGTTGCCCCATCTTCATTCCACTAACAGTGTAACAAAACCAAATGATACATCCTGGCTAGACTGAGTCCCTTCTCTCAAAGGGAGAAGGGGGGGGCAACTAAACAGACTTAGGATGATTGAACAATCCCTAACTGTACCCCAGATATCAAAAAGGTCCTGCTGAGATTCATGTTCATCATCTACCTTATTCTTGACAGATGTGTTCAACAGGTACCTGGGATTTGCTTATTTTAGATTTATGGATTTGAAAAAGGCTCTGCCTCCTTTTGTCTTCCTTGTTCTACAACAGCACTACCCCTAACTGCTATTCTTTAGGAATGCATACTCAGATTTAGCCTGTAGTTTTGGGCATGGCTGGTTTTCTTGGAACTATCCCTGGCACTGCTTTCTCAGATAGCAGAATGGGCAGTTGAGAAACTGGATAGCCTACAATACTGACTAACATATGCATCCTTGTGTCCTGTACATAAGTATGCAGCGTTGGTGGATTGTATACTATTAACAAACCCTGTAAGCTGTGTGACCCTGGGCAAGTCACTTAACTCCAATTGATGAAAAAACAAATTAAAAAACAAAAACAAACCCTGTGGATAAATTTGAGGGTTGTGGGGTTGTGCTTTTGCTTCTGGTGGTCTAGAATTGGACTAACTCATGAGTTAGAAATCACTGCAGTAGAATTGTTCCTTGCTTCTTCATCTATGGCACCATCAGACAGGGTTAGTTAAAAAGCTCAGGGTACATATGTTAGATATTGACATCAGGGTTAATATCTTGGAAAACTCAGTTTTGCTAAATCTTGATATTTGCCTGGCAGGATTACTTGGAAAAAGCTTATTTCAGTTTTAATCCTAATTTTGCTCCTAATAAAAATTATCAGCTCAGCTTCTGGAATTAGCTCCAGAGTGTTCCTGGTACCCTGGGGCAAAAAGCAAAAACGTACTCTGGGATAGATGATGGGCACCTCCTTTATTTCCAATTCTATGCTATAATAGAAATCATTGCTATGAATATTTTTTAAATGTATGGGTCCTTTGCCACTGTGTGTGACCTCTTTTTGGAATATATTCCTAGTGATCATATAATTGGGTCAGAAGATATGCAAAACTTAGTGACTTTGGGGGTATAGTTCCAAACTAATTTTCAGAATGATTGGATTAATTCACAATCACACCAGCAGGACATCAATGTGCCTTTTCTGTCATGACTCCTCTCACAATTATTATTTTCACCTTTGTCATCTTTGTCAATCTGAAGGATATGAGTTTGATTAAGCAATTTTTCATGCTAACTAGCTACTAGTATAAACAACTGCTAAAGGAATATAAAGGACATATCTCTGGTCACCCCTTCCAATTTATGACTCCTATTATCACTCTATTATCCCTAATGCAAGTCTCTGTACTGGTCCCTTGGTAGAAATTTAGGCTTTCTACTTCAAACATTGTGTAGGGAAACTACTATATTTGAGATGGAACAATACTATAGAATGTCCAAGAGATAATATTGACCAAAAAAAAAGGATGAGAGTTCACAAGTACATAACACTCTAAAGTTTATAAAATGTTTTCCTTATAATAATTCCTGTGAGATAGGCAGATATTCTCTCTATCTTAAAGAGGAGTAAACTGAGGCTGAGAGATTAAACCAAGGGTGGGAACCTGCAGCCTCAAAGCTGGATTCTCAAGTGTAGCCCTTTGATTGATTCCAAACTTCACAGTTCTGTTCACAGTTTCCCACCCCTGGGTTAAGCCATTTACCAAGGTCACCAGTCTTGGACACTACTTTATATACTGTTCAATGTGCTTGATTTCCAGTCAATGTCCCAAGGGCCTTTTAACCAATTTTGAGCTTAGATATCAGAGCAAGGCTGCCAATGTTCTTTGAAATTTGCAGAAGGCAATCCTTCTCCATGGAGGAACGTCCTTCACTTTACCTTATGTGTATGTGTTACATATGCAGAAGCCTTAGGAGAGAGCAGGAAATCAGTTCAAAGTATGCAATGTTATTACTGCTAATAATTATACTCTATCCTCTCTTGCTCAAGAGTCTTTGAGTCAGGAGTAGGCAAAAGTCATATTTCCAGACTGTCTAAAATGTTAACAGCATTCTTCTTCTATAGTTGGTCCAAAGATAGAACTTAGATGATAATTTTAATGTTGAGGAATAATTTTTTCCCTCACTACTCTTGGAAAGATTGATAGTCTGTCCTTAGTACCCTTAGCTGAGAGATTAAGAATGTGAATCTGTGTACTTATTAGCTGTGTGATCCTGGGCAAGTCACTT